GCCAGAAAACTGTTGAAAGCAAGCAAGAAAAAAAAATCAAGAGTTTTTCAAGTGGAACCAAAAGAAACATGGAATCTTGACATTATTCATATGATTCACAAAATGAAAAGATCCTGTCTGCAGGTTCTACAAAGTCTATAAATTGGCCTTTCCCTGTATAACTAGAGGAATAAAAATTAACTGGAGAAATAAAACTTTAGGCAAAGAGCTTTTTCACTTTACTGTTACTTCTTCTGTGCTGCTTCAGCTAACCAAAGTTACATGGTGCACATTTGTCAATTAATCACTCAAGTACAACAAAATTTCACAGGACACCTGAAGTCATATTTAAAGGCTACCTGAAACATTCATATTTTATTGTGTTTGGTGGGGTGCATGGAGACACTCCAGTTTATTTCTCCCCTGTTATGACAATTGCTTTTTGAGTATAGAAAATAGGGCTCATTACAATAGGGCCAATTTGGCTCTACGAAAAGTCAAGATGGACTTAGAAGTCTCAGTCGCTCAATCTATCCTGCCTTTAGCTGTTCGCTTGAACTGCTGTTGCCAAGTGAACCAAGGTTCCATTTGCTTTGCAGAGGTGTTTGCTCTAATTGCCATAAAAACAAAGCACTTCTTTGAAAATCCACACAGATCTAGTTTAAAAAACACAAAAAGACATCCATCGGGTGTTACAATCATGCATGCATTTATTTTGCTGAAAGTATGTACACTGAAAAAAAATGTAGCCACTTATGATGCACCTTCAGATAGGTCATTTCTATGATTGCTAACAGATACGCAAAGGAATATCACTTCAGCTCTGTAAAAATGGCTTCGAATTGTCACTTATCTTTCCCATTATAACAACAACAATAACAACAATAACAACAACAACAACAATAATAATAATAATTCTGACATACCAAACTTTGTAGAAATATATTCTCTAACAGTTCACATACATATATTATGTAATGTGAAAATAATGATTGGATTTGTTACTGCTGAAATTGTTTAAATTGTCCCCACAAGTCCATTTTGTGCAGTATTATCATTTTGTTTCAATAAAATTTTAATTAGGATTTTATACTTTGCGATTATGTTTTTGAAACCCTAGACAGCAGGATGCTCAATTTAGTGATCAAAAGCATTCTGTATAGAATAGACATGGTATCATTAGACAGCTGAATAAAGTAAAATGTTTATCATATAGACCACCTTCAGAGTAATAGGAGAAAAAAAATCACATATTTCTGTAAGTTGGCATCCAGAACTTCTGTTTTATTTCTGAAATTGGTCTTATGTCCTTGTGGAAGCTAAAATCTCAGATTTAACTATGGCAAAATTTGGTCTCTGAATTCTAAGTGTTTCAAATGGAATTCCAAATGGAAACAAACTTTACAATAATTATATGCTATTAAACAAAATAACTGAATTTAAAATCGATTTTCAGTCTGATAGTGATAATTTTCCATTTTAGCAAAATTTATCAATAATACTTGGATCCACTGGCCGGAGAATAATTGCCCAGATAAAACTATCTTGGATAGGAATGCACAAATAGGAGGTTTAAGGAGATGCAAAGAGCTTTTGCACATGCTTCTCAGTTTAGATAATTCACTTGAGATATAAGAAACATGGGAAAGTACCTTCCAAATTGATTAATACTATCCAGGATTAAATATTGCATTGCATTTAGATCAAAGTTTAAATCTATGATATAACTATGTCAAAGCTAAAACTGTAGCTATCATTAAAAATAGGGATGGATGCTGTTTGGAAGGTCCTAAATTTATCTTGAAGGAACAGTATTGAGTCCCTGTTGAAAAAAGAAAAGTACAAAATGCCTAAGTGGAAAAAGTTAGTTCAATATGTCTTGTGACCTATCGTGCCCTAAGATCGCACATGCGTGTATGCTACCTACGGAGGCTAATCTTGTCTGACAGAGCATTTTAAGGGTCGACTTAGTAAGCATTTCTTTCAACTGAATGTATTTTAGTTAGTTATTGATTTTTTCCTAAGTCCACCTATAAGATATTCAAACTCATAGTATAGTTGAAGAACAATCAAGTTACATGGAAAATTTGATCCCTGCAGAACTAATAAAAGTCTGATTAGTAGCTTCTGTGTTGCCTACTTTGTTTACCTATAATGACTCCTCTCTCAATCAATAACTATTCCAAAATTTAAGAAAGAAAATAAGATTGATCTAGCCAATTCCAAGCCAATTAAGCTTCTGAGCATTAGTATATGCAAGGCATTGTTATGTAAAATTTCTTGATTGGTTAACTGAAGAAACTACAGTTTCAGAAATGAACAATCAACTTTTAGTAAATATCAGAAGCAATTCATCATTTCTCCCAGGAACTACAAATCATTGAGGGAAACTTGGAGGTCTTATAAAGAATTATCAGGTGCAGTTCTCAAGATTCTTGAAGAGATAACATACTAATTAAGCTAATATAAACAAAATTAGTATCAACATATAGCCATCACTTACAAAAATAATAACATTTTAAAAGTTATTTTTAATTATATTGGTGTTATATCATATGGCAATCAGTTTTTAGGGAAATTTGCTATATCCTTATGGAATACAACAGTTGAAGCTTTCCACACCATCTCTAAGCTGGAAAAAAAGGTCAGCTGTACATTTCTGCCAAAACACAAGTATACCAATAAAAGAGCTAGTAATACTTCTTGTTTTATAGATATCGAGTAGTATGACTACATGTACTTTCATAAGCTTGCAGAATGGATCTTTTATATTCTATATTGTGTTAATACCATTTTATATTGTGTTAATAACATTCATTCATAATAGAACAACTTGAAAGAAAATGTTACAATTTAGCATTTATATTGTGGATTAAGAGAGCATATACATATTTGCAGCAGGCTCATCCAGCATCATCAGATTGGGGATAGTGTTTCTTAAATTTGTATCTCAGGTTGGCAATTCACAGAATCTTTCTAAATTCTCTGGAGAGCAATAGAAAGACAAAGCAAGACCCAAGACCCAAGTGGAAGAATGTGACTTTAAACAGTTATAAATGCTTAAGGAATAAATATGTTAGAAATGGGAAATTAAAAATTCTGGGACAAAAGCTCTTTCCTTTCAGGGTATTGCTCCATGTAATGATTAGTGTAAGGAGCATTCAAAACTGGACTTTTCATTAGCCTAACAGATGTAACTCATTCTTTCATTTTTCCATGCCATCATTTCTTTTATGCTTGTACAGAGCTTGACTTCTGACCAGACATGACTTTATTATTTTCTTGGCATTTGTATGGATGTGATTTCTTATTGCTTTCCCTTCGATATTTTTCAAATGTACTAGAGTCTAGACTACTACTATAGTTTGGGATTTCCTCTGATTCAAATACTAAAATGACCCAATGCTGCTTAACTTTTCTTAAGATCAGCCAAGATTGGCTCTGTGCTGTCACCTACTAGGACACAATACATAGATGCTACTAAATAAGTGCAAACATACATATGCACACTGCCAGCAATGTGTGTTTTTATTATTTGCTGCTGTGAGAGACCTTGCTATACAGGAACTAAAATCCTCTAGGAATAAATTAACTATATAAAGCAACTCTATATCCACATGAAAACAAAATGAATGTATAAAGGTCTTAGTAATTCTTATGAAGCTAAGCATTGTGTTGCATTTTGAATTCCTAAATCTGAATATTTAGTCACCATCCCCCAACCCCAAGGCTTTTAAATTCATAATACACTGTAGAATCCTTGACAAGTAGGAATGAAAAAAAAAAAGGAGAAAAATATAAAGTGGTCAGGGAGAAGGCAACCCCTTACTCCTTACTATAAATAATTGGCCATTCAAAGCTAGAGGGCATACACCTTAGAAAATAGGAATTTCTTTGGATTCTTTTCATTGCCTTTATATTCTCAAAATCGTATTTCCATTCTTGACAGTTTTATCCAAGCAGATCTTGGCAAGGTTTGAGTGATTTATTTATCTCAATTCCTGGTGACAGCCACCACTTAAGTCCAAGAGTAATGCAGCAGGCAGTAGCAATTGCTTCCCAAGTATAAATGGACAAAGGTGCTTTTTGAAGGCCATGCTTCTGATTTGGCAGTCTCCTCTCTTAGTGAACAAAAAAAGGCAGTCTATAGCTAAGAGGAAGATGTAGAACTCTTCCCCACTTTGGGTATACAATTATTCCTATTGAAATGCACATAATTTTATGAGGTACATTAGCTACAATGCCCCTGACATATGCCTACAGTGCAGCTATGCAACCTTATCTCTAACTTTGATCCAAATCCTCTGAAAGTTTTGAATCAACTCTCAAGTAAGTATGCATTTTAACAACCATATTTTAGACATGTTTTGTGTTTATTACCAATATTAACACAGTTCCAATATTAACGTTTCTATTTTTATTTATTCGTCTATTTTCATGGGCCTTAAACTGGTGGTTTTTGTTGTTCTCTTTAAAAATTATGTACCTGGTGGACGCCATATTGTGTTGCCAACTCCAACAATCTTTTGTGGATCAAAGCTTATTTCTTTCTAATTCTGTATGCATGTGGTTTTTCTATATTCACCTTCCATCCTGAATTAATTGCCAATAAATTATGCAATATATATGTAGCATAATTTTATTTATATATATATATGTAGGGGTTTGCATTTTATTATTTTCTGAGGCATCATTGTACAAACTTTACATCCAAACAGCATGTACAGATTTACAGCAGAATGCTTTTGCAACTTGTACTTAAGTGCAAATTAATATCTAATATGAATAGAAATCATCCCCTGAAGTAAGGTAAGGTCAGATTCAGGCACATCCTGGATGAGTGGCTTTTCAGCAACCTACATTTTAATCACTGATGGAGCAGTAAAAAATGCAAGGATGCTGGTCCCAATAGTGGTGGAAAGAAGTCAATGACTGAGAAACAGATGTTGCTACATTTCCGGATATTAGATTCCAAATTCTGAGTTCCAGTGATTGAGAACTAATCCAGTGTTGAGTGAAAAACGAATTTCTATTAAAAAGCAAGCGGGAAGGTACAAAAAACAGACTAAGGGGAAACGAAAACTGATCTTAATACATTTTAGCTATACTCTTGCTTAGTTTTTAAAGCGGGAGAGAGCGAGCGCGCACGCGCGTACAGAGAGAAAGAGAGAGAGATTGTTTTTCCTAATTTTCAGTGACCTGCACTAAAAGGAAATATAATTGAGAAAGATGGCGAAGCACAGTTGAGTTATCAAGCACTATAATTTCATTCCTCGTGTCTCCCAGTACTTATAGCTGCGGAAAAGTGAATGGGGACCATCGCGTCCTAACTATACTGATGAGAAAATCCTAGGGAGTTGAAGCGATTGGCGAGACGGTTCCGGGAAGGAAGGCGGGGGGAGCGAGCGGATAGGCAATTTTGCGACTGCTACCCAAGCAAGCACCAGCATTCACAAGCCGGGGTGCGTTGGCGGGAGGCGCGCCCTTTCCCTTGCTCGTTCTCTTTAATTCAGCTCCTCCCCCGGTGCTTGTGGCTTTCCCTTCCATCAAAAGCCCGATCAGGAACGCCAGTCTTTTGGTGGGGGGGCGGGAATCCGAAAGGAAAGAAAAAGAAAGAAAGAAAGAAAGAAAGAAAGAAAGAAAGAAAGAAAGAAAGATACCGCTTTTCCCTTTTCTGTAGCTTCAGATACGGCAGTGTCGGAAACTTCTGTGGAGTTATTGGCATCTTTTATTATAAAAAATAATTAAAAACAATTTTAAAACCTACAGCGTTCCCCTTTTCGATTTGCGTTCTATTTTGTTCATTTCCCTTTTCCTCAAATCAGTGTTTCTTTGTTTTGGTTTTCCCCAACCGCTCCCTGGGAAATGGGAAAAGTTACTAGCTGGTACCAAGGGTGGCATTTCGCTTTGCTCGCCGCTCGGACCTGGCTTTTGATCCTTACTTTTGGCTTTATCGGAGCAGACATCACTTGCCGATCGTGCCGCTGGCAGGTGCAGCTACAGCCGCAGCAACCAGCCCAAGGATTATTAATGAACTTGAGGACGGCACGAGGAGGCGATGAAGCCGGAGAGATACCTGTGGATAAAAGAGGTGAGAAGCCCGCGAACCGCAGGCAAGAGGCGGCGGATGCCGGGAGTCTAAGCTTGGCTGCTTCTGCTGGAGAGAAACGTGTCGGGATGGGATCAAAGGGTTGGATGGGACCGAGCAAAGTGACTGGCGAGCTCCCAGAATTTCCCCCGATCCGCCCCAGACTATCTCCTCCGGATGTTGACAGGCCCAGCCGCAAAAAGTTAGCCTCGGCTCCCGCTCTATTTCCAGCCGGGAGCGGAGGGCGTCGAGGGGTCAGTTCGGAGGCCGGCCGGGGTTCCAGATCGGCGCTCCTGAGCCGGTGGAGGAATTACCGGAACGATCGGAGGCGGCGGTCGAGTCGGAAGCCCAGAGGAGCTCCGGCTGAAAGAGACGCGCAGCTGGAGAGCAGGGCACGGGCAGCGCCAGAGCAGCTGCTGGCAAAAGCCACGCGCTTCCGACAGGAAGAACTCAAACTGACGAGCACGACCTTTGCTCTGACTGGAGATTCGGCGCATAACCAAGCCATGGTGCACTGGTCGGGCCACAACAGTAGTGTGAGTAGCCATAACAATTAAGCAACAGACCACAGTGTACAGGGCAGGGAGATGGCGCTCTCCAAGCAAACACTAAATCCTTCCCTGCTATTTGCTTTCGAGCAAGATTTTAACCGGCTTTCCCTTTCCTCTGTGCTGAAATGATGATGATGATGATTGATGATGAATGCAGCAACAATTGATCATAGCGGCAGTAGTAGTATTGGCTCCTTTTGGAGGAATCTCCCCCCCCCCTTTTTTTTTTTTTTTTTTTACAATCTTTGTTTGTAGTATCTGAAGTGGTTTCTAAGGCTTCCTTTTCCAAGCAGAAAGTTTCCTGCTCTGCTTGGTACTGCCTTGAATTGCATTTGCCAAGAGATGCAAATTTAAAAGAAAAACTGATCTTTGGGTAGGCTAAGGCTTTCTGAGATTATTAGATAAAAGTGTGTGAGAGACCTAGGGTGGAATAAGCAAAGCAAAAGTAAAAACATTTCACATTTCAGTCCAGGTATATTTCCTTGTCATCACACAGTAACAAATGTCAAAATTTAAGGATTAAGAATTTAAGGATAAGCAGTGGAAATTTAATAAAGCATCCTGTTAGGAGTTGAAGTTCTCTATCAGCTAAATAGTATTTTCTGATTGCTATCTATTATTATGTCCTGTCTATTAATTCCTGTTCAGAAGAGATTTATCTTTATGTCCATGAATCAGCCAATCTTTTCTTTTCCATTTTACACTTTCAAACTTCAGGATATTAACTGCTTTTAGAAAGTGTATACAATTGTCTTCCTGGTGCTGGGACACTAGATCAGAAAATGTTTGTTATCTGTACACTGTCACCAATTCATTATTTCCCTAGCTTTTATTCAAGAGTCACCTACAGTAAAAGATCATTAAGGGTCAGTGCTGATCAGAGGCTTACCTGCTGTTATAATCTCCTTTAGACTGCTCTGATTCTTTTCCCATTCCATCATATTCTTTAAAAAGAGCATAGGTTTCCAACTCAATGCTCAGTATCTGCCTTTGGGTAGAAAATCACAGTTTTCTCTCACCTGTTGTTCTTGGGTTTATTCCTACAGTTCAAATGAGATGTTTTCTCTGTTCTGTATGTCTGGTAATCCAACTCTAACGTTGTAAGGGTCTTTACAGAAAGTAATTCTAGTTTTCCAAGGTGTCCTATGCTACTGTAATGAAGATCAATCCAAAAGAATAAAGAAACTTGTTTAATACCAGTGTTTTGCAAAATGAATCTTGTTTTTGGGAAAAACTTTTTAGGGTGAACTAAAAACTTTTTAGGGAGAACTAGGATAATGCAGTCTGGGACTCTCTATATACAGTAATAGCTTCAGCGTTAGGAGAAATAGACACCAAATTAAAAATGAGATAAAGTTTATTTATCTCTTATTTAAGGTTATATAATTTATTGACAGCTTTCTTTGCTCCTGTCATTTACATTTATTTCTATTGTCAGTTTACTTATTGTAAAATGGCAAAATTAGGTGTCTGATCCTTATAATATAAACCCTTTTTGTATGAACATAATATTTCAAAATATTAATTTCACTGTGACTCTTTAGTATTCATATGGATGTCACCAGCACTTTTAGACTTCATTGACTAAACTGTAATTTGATAAGCTTTTCAAAAACTTTGTAATCAAACACACAAGCAAAAATCCTGCTTCGCTTGTAGGTTTACAGGACCTTTCCCCTTTTTACTTATTTTGGCTACCAAATGTCTGATACAAATCCATTAAAATCAATCTACCTTGAACTGCAGACTTCTAAAGCTGATAGAACAAGTTTGTCATTGCTTAAACAAGAAATGTCTTCGAATCTTGCAACTTAAAAGTAGAATAAATCCTTGAAAAACAGAACAGATTTAAAACAAACTATAATTCTGATTATTAGAGTTATAATTTTCCAAATTTCTTATTTTCCTTCATTGCATATATCTGGGGGGAGAGGGACGTTCTTCAATTAATTTGGCGGTGCCCTTTAACATATGAAGTGTTTGGAGGTATTTCTACATAGAAGATATCAATCTTTCCATTTCTAGTTGTGGATTTGTTCACATTATTCAGCACAGGGCATTGTGTGAATAATGTAGAATTGAGAGCTTCAGCCATTCCTTAAATGGTTTCTCAGTGAATAATGAAAACAGTGCTGAGTCATTCTGTTTAGCTGAAGAAAAGCCTTTTGTGATATCTACTACAATCTTAAATGATCTTGTTTCTAAAGTGAAAGTGTCATGTTGCCTACAATTTCTCATTGTATTTTAAGATTTTAAAATAAAATTCATTGTTGGCCAGTTTCATCTAGACAATCAGGACAATGTAAAAGGATTAATTTATGCAACAAAACTAAAGCTGAGTTTTGCATCAATTGTTGAGTAGTTGTTTTGTCTCTACAACCATAAATTACATGCTTGGTTTGACAAGTAGCAGACGTCATAGTGGCACCAGCAGTGATGCAGTCTAAGATTATTTCCCTTCTTAACATCTGCTTTTTCCTTTATATCTCACCAGGTCAGTCCACATTCAAATCCTATTTACTAGTTGTCCATACTAAGAATAGTTGTTGCTTATTTCAACATTTGTCCTTTTTTAATGCAAATAAAAATAATCATTTCTATTCTTATTATCCAGATATTTTAGGATATCTTCGATGCATTGAATAAAGTGCATCTGGAAGATATTTTATATTAAAACCAGGGTTTGTTTTGATATGTGATTTGTACATTATCCATATGTAAAACTAGGGCGGATTAGATTAAGTTTTTATCTTGCCCAGTATTGGATTCTCCTAGTAGCCAACCAATGCCTATGAGGTATCAACCAGTAAGACCTGAATACAATAGCACTTTGCCACTTACATTTCTCAGCAATTGATACTCAGAAGAATAATTATTCTATTACAGGACATAATATATAGCTGTCATGACTAGTTGTTATTTTGATTGTTTTATCAATTTTTTTCTAAGATATTTAGTTTACAGCCATCACTATATCTTGGTGGTGAAATTGAGAGGCTAATGGTGTACTTTAATATATTTTTATTATCACTGATTAACCATAGCTGTCTATACGACACATCGGATTAAAGAGGAGGTATTTTAATGAAATAATGAGACTTCGAAGCCAGTTAGCTTCGGAAATTTGTCCTCCATAGAGAAATAAGCATTTGGATTTACTGCTTGGCAAGTACTAGAACTGACTCTAGGGTTAAAAATAAACATTTGATTGACCAAAAGGAACCCAGAAGAATAAAAATGTTTAAGAAACCAAGTGTAACTTTCAAAGTTAACTAATCTGTAATTCTTTTGTAATGATATTAGGTAGATTCATGAATGTGTGTATCTTTATGTATAGGAAGAATTTTAAAAGCTTCTGTGATAATGTCTATAAATGGTTCTTTTTTGGCAACTCTGAAGAATGTTGCATAAATGGTAAATATTAACAGGCACTAACTATTGCTACTGTCTCCAGAAAGTCTACTTTTGGAGAAACCTATATTTAAATCCTATTTTAGCTATGAAGCTTTGAAAATTTCACATCACTCACCATAGCTTACCTCACATGAAAGAAAGTATATATGTGAAATCCTTGGAAGAAAAATGAAGCCACAAATATAATAAAGCTATATTGATCAGGTCTCAATTTAAAACAAGGATCTAAGCTTTTAACTGATATATAATAGTTCAGAATAGAAATCAAAGATATGCAAGACTAGATCTTCAATTTTCAGCTTCCATGTAGCCATTAAAGATTCACAGCTGTCAGAAAAGATGGTAGTAAATACTGAAAGTTACAAGGAAGAATATGAATATTGTTACTGAATTTGCTTTTGTGTTGGATATTTCTTTGCAATTAAATGTTGATATCATAACTTTTTAAAAGTCTAAAAATAGTAGCTATTTAATTTTTTCATCAGTAGAAGAGCTATACTTTTGAAACTGTTTCTTTATACTTTTCAGATTCAAGCATGATTTTCAGGCTTGTTTGGAATTTTACATGTCTGACATTTATATTTATTTGTCCAAATCACTTTGATTAAGAAACAAAAGTAGAATTGGACACATTTGCATCATCACAAGGCCCAAACAATATATTCTCAAAACGATTAAGGTAATTATTATATCCCTGCCCAGGCTTTCCTATGTCTCCTTAGAAGAAGAATACAGACAGTACATTTATTTGCCTCTTTTGTTACTTCTTCATTTCTGTTGTCCATTCTTTTGACAACCATGTATTTCAAGGGAAATCCTCTGTCCTGTGGTGTCTGGCTACAAAGGCTTTCAAGCTGAAGTCAGCCTTTTGACTTAGACCAGGTTAGGAAATAAAATTCTTTTGTTGTCCCCACATTTCACAAATGTGTGAAATTCTCCTGGATTCTGGCATTTACTTTAGTTGCAAAGAGGTCAAAAGATTTGAGCAAATGTTGTGTTTTTTATTTTGCAGTAATCTCTTCTACAGTTATGCAGACTTTTATATGCTTCAATTAAATCCCAAGAGAAAATGTATGATAGAAAGCCTGCTTGGAGGCTTTTTCAGTTTAGAAAGCCTGAGCAATCAGGGAAGCTGCAGAATGATGGAGAGATGTGTTAACATCAACAACCTTCTCTACCTTTCAGTAATAATGTGAACTCAAAATGCCAGCCAAAGGAAATTCTAAAAATATTCTAAAGTACCCTGAGAATAAGCAATTAAAATAAAAGCCTATTTTGCAAAAGAACATTTGGAAGCTGGATAATGAAATTTTAGCACTGTACTTCTCTTCTGCAATGGCTGATAAGGATAGCGATGCTAAATATTTCTTCATTGAGGTTGACTCCGGGTGACTATATGGACTGTTCAAATCATTCCATGAGAGAATGTGACATGACCAGATAACCTTTTGAAAACTTTGAAGCAGGTGCACTGAGTCTACCACTTTGAGGAGTCACCCAGATGGGCATTTCTTTTTTAATTTTCCAACAAAACACCTCGCTGAACAATTTGCACAAGCCTTACAAAGAGA